TAATTTAATTAACTATTTAACTAACTAGGTAGTCTCAGTTTCTCACTAATTTTCACAATAAAATTGCCTAGCCTAGCCCACTAACCACTTATAGAATAAAAGTTAAAAACTCTTACTTAATAGAATTAGAGTAGAAGTTATAAAATATTAGTCTTGACTTGAATAAAGTATTTTAAAGGATTAAATAAAATTAAATCAATCACTTCTGTTATTTTTTTACTTTTCTAAAAGTATAATCTCTAGAAACAAATGGTATTGATGGTGTTGTCTCCCAACCTACTTCTTAATGAACTGCATGTATATCCCTCCCTACATAAGGCCTTTTCTGCCTCTATGCTAGTTGGTTTCAGTGTCATCAAATAATGATAAATCAAAGATAAGTTTTCACCTCTGACTCCCTCACTTTCATAAACAGCCATTTCCTTTTTTAATAACTTATCATAATCCTTCTCAGTACTAGTTTCTTTCTGTTTCATGAAGTTTTCTTTAGTTGGATCTCTAATTCTTGTTCCAATGTGAAATTCAGGAAATCCAGGTTATCTGGATCATCGTTTTTCACCTCCATAATATCCTCTGCCATTGCTGCTGGTTCCACTACATATGTATTTACACGATTCAGCATATTTTTCATTTGGCGCATTACATTTTTTTCGGCATGTGAAAGATAAAGCTTTCTGACTTTTTGATCATACTTCTTCGGGTTCTGTATGTAAATCAGCATCCCTGTGACCTCGGTAAGATGCCGTTCTCTGATTTTTTGCAGAGTGCCTCGGAAAGGTTGGCACTCAAGATTGTGTCCTGGCTTTTTAGTTTGTCTAAGACAAATTTCAGGATTGTGTCAGCAGTTATCAAACTCGACTCTTCTGCAGAGAGCTTCTACGGCCAGTTTAAACTGCGATTGTTCCGTCACGTGATTCATTGACGTCACAACCAACCGTAAATTAGAATTATGCACCAGGACTAGGATAGGAGTTACTTATTTTATTTAGCGTGAAGATACTTTATTTAGCGAGAGTGGAAAGTCAACTGGCAATTAGATCACCAGAGGTAAAAGAGCAGGCGGTGCAGTGTAGAGAGGGGGTGTAGTACGTGCCGCACTGAATGGCAACGTCGCTCTCGCCGCCGAGCGATAACGCACGTAGCAAAGCAGCAAGGCCAACAACGTAAACTTTTGCACCATTATTTAGAAAGTTAATTGAGTATTTGCAGATCTCCAGCGTGGATCCAGCACCTGGTGCTGGATCCAACAGGCCGAAAAATGTGCTGGATCCAGCTGGATGAGGGATCCAGCAATTGCAATCCCTAATACTGAAATATATGGAAGGTGAAGATGAAGTGTATATACAATTTTATCTTCACTATCCATATATGAGTCACAATAAAATGCTTTTCTCTTCTAGAGAGATTAGTTGATTGTCTTGAAAAAGCTGTATGTTGGTTAAAGTAATCATTATGAAGTATTGCATATTCCAAATAATTTTCTTAATATAACCTGCATTAATCCAAGTTTCATCTTTCTGTATCCTTATAGTGAAATAGCAATAAATTAACTATACATTGCTGTTAAACAACAATTGCAACTTTAATGAATATATTTGATAGTTAATGCTTTTAACTATCTGTTATATGGATCTGGGAGAAATCTGATTTTTATGTCATAAAAGTTGAATATTATTTCTTATTACATGATTTATAAATGCTCAACTTGTCAATTATAGAGATTATTCTTGTAAAATGATTCCAGTTTATCTTTTGTTTCCCTTTGTGTTCAATGAATGCTACTTATCAACATACATTAATCACATTTTTCTTTTCCATTTTTCTTATCATAGATAATTCCATTTTGTTTCTAAAAACAATAATAATATATTATTATTATTATTATTATTGTCTTTCCACTTAATAAATCAGTTTGAGAAATAAATAAAAACCCAAGTATATTTTTATATAATTTTTAGCATTTAGATCAATCAAATTTTTTAATCATTTAAACAAGAAATCTGTGAACTGTAATAAATCTAATTTTTGTTTTATATTTATTACAAAACAGAAATTAGACAGGTAATACCATATTTCCTTGATTCTGAAACACTTTTTACCTGTTTCAGCTTGTTGAAAACAGAGATGCACCTTAAATTTCAAGACAAAAACAATGATCAGAAGTTATTGACAGCTGATCATATAATATATTATGCACCAGTATTAGAATGTTTCAGCTACACTGCTCATTTCAAACAAGCTTTGCTGTTAACAATTTAAAAATTCCTTTTTAATATAATTAAAATGCCTTAAATATGACATTGCATTTAAAAGTTGTATATATAGAAGAGCATGAAAATAGGTGCCAAATATTTATTTCATAGCATTTGAATTAATTTTTTTCTAACTTGTTTAAGTTTTGTTAAATAAAAAGTTATTTGAAAATTTCTCCGTATAAAAATATCTTACAATTTAATTTCAAACTTATGGCTCATCTTAAGATCAAGAAAATATGGTATTTAAATTTTCATTGTGAATATATACATTTCTTTATTATAAGGTTTTTGATAAAAACAATAAAATTCAATGTGTGATTCTTTATGTTTGTTCCAATCAATGATTTAATAGTTTAAGTTTAAAAATACATTTACTGTAGAAATGTAGTTCTGTGATAGTCTTATTTTTGAATCAGCAAATTATTAAATCATTGATTTGAACTTTGCTTACACTCCAATTTCAAGCATAGTTTTTCAAAAATAGTTTATATTAATTTCTTCTACAGTATTCATGATTTTTTAAAATACATATAAATAAGTTACCTATGTTTTAGTAAAGTTTTGAAGTAAATAAATCTATAGTGACAATATTAAATTTTATAAAATATAGGTAAATTCATTGATATATAACTTAATCCAATGTGAAAGGAAACTGAAATTAATATGATTAATGCTATTAAGACAGAAAATTCTTACAACAATATTTAAGAATTCTTTTAACCATTTATTATTTAGAATTTGTGGAATTTTTTAAAATTCCAAGAATTTTAAAATTATTCAAAAAGAATTTTTCAATACTATATGAATAAATTTTATGCATCTTTTTGCATAATAATAATTTAATATCATAAATTTTCTTTCAATTGATTCAGTCTGTTACGTATATATCAATATTTATATATGTATGTAAAAACACCTCCAATGCCAACTTATTCAGAATTTTGGTTTCAAATATGTAAAAGAAAAACAACACAAGATACAGTAAGAAAAATCTAATCACATTACTTTAAATCTATGTTAAATAATATTACCTGATCTATATGAGAGCTATAGAAAATAACTTTTTTTATAAATAACTATTAAGATTTAGTTTATTGTTTTAATTTAACTTGGATTAATCAGTTGTGTTGTCAAAACTTATGATTCTTGTGCATTTGAATACACTGAACAACAACAAATGCTTTAGAAGTGAGTTTTAACCCCTCAAGCATGTGAGTTTATCTAACAATTTTAATATTTGAAATTCACTACATGAATTTAACATAGTAACTGCAGTTTTTCTTCTTACGTATTAAATTTGGCCAGTCATCATTTAAATATGCCAATATATTAATTAAAAATATTTATAAATAGTCTATAATAACATTTTGTAAACTATTAAGATAAAATATTTTTCATTTTCTCTCAAATCACTATAAAGTAATATCAAAGTGATTTTTGGAACAAAATGCATTGAGGGGTTAATGCATTTTCTATGTGGATTTTAATATTCTATAACTTGTTTATATTTATTTATTTAGGAAGGAATAATAAAATTTTTACAACTATTAAGAACATTTTATGGATAATTGATAAAACATTCAACAATTAGATAGATGCTACTGATATGGAATTTTACTGCATATTTGCCATTTTGTTAAATGGCTAAATTCATAATCATTTGGATGCATATTTTTGAAGGGAAATAATTAAAAATTCTTAATAAAAATATATATGTATATATATGTATATGATTTTACCGTCACATTATAGATATCTTTGATAGAAAGAAATAGTTTAAATTTATAAACAATCTCACTCCTTATAGCACATATAATTACATAATGAAATTTCTCTCAATGCCAATTTGACAAAATTTTGGATTTAAATATTCAAATTAACTTGTATAGAGTAAGATTAGAACAATTAATTAGGGCACATTAATGAAATTGGATGCAATTTATAAAGTGGCAAATCTGCATCCTTTAAGTTTGGACTAATTATACTGGAATATTTTCACTATTTTGGGTTATCTCTTTCATTTCTTCTTTTTTAGTAGGTGGCATAACCTCAACTCGATACATGAGCCTCTTTCGACGACACCAGCTGAATGAGTTATCGAATTTCAAAATATCTAATGACAAATATAATCTGTTATGATATTTATATTTTATTGTAATTAACTGAAATAAAGGATAAAACTTACATGTTCCTGCTGTATCACATACAACCATACCATCTTCAGGGACTAAGTGACAATTTACACGTTGAATGGGAATGAGTTCTTTCTGTTCTCCATTTTCAGATTTGCAATATACTCCAAATCCAATATCGTAATCTTCAGTCTGAAATTCCCATTGAAGAACCGAACCAGGTTCTGTTACTTGAAATTCTATTGGCAGTTGTGTTTTTTTCTCAACTACAGCTGCTGTCATATTCTGATCAATGGAAAGACGACGACTAGGTGCTGTATATGAGGAACAAGGAACTGCACCACCTTGACAGATCTGATTATATTAATATAAACAAACTGTATTATTATTATTATTCTGAAATTAAACTAATGGAGTTTCATTAAACCTTTCCAACAAAATTTAATTATTTTCACAAGATTTAAAGCAAATTTTATCATATATCACAGATACAGAATATGTCTAATCACATAAACAAACAAGGTTTGGGAAAAATTAAGACAGTCTCAAAGAAATTTTAGTAGAAAAATATAGCAATAGATGCAAAAATGTTACAATAAAATGGAGTAGCATCTCAGTTAAGCCTGCAGATGTTAATAAGGAAAATTGACTAAAATGCAGGGAAACCATATGTTTTAAAAGTGAAACTAGAATGTTTTTTACTTTGTTTTTAATAAGTTCAGTCATTTGTTACATCACAGCTTGCTTACATTAGGAACAGGTTAGTCTCACTTATCAAACCACAATTTCATTTAAAAATTTGACAGTTTAATGGGTGACATTTCATGTTGACTTGAATTAAGGCAAAATATTCAATTATTCCTCATAAGGAAAATTTGCAAATGAAGAATCTGCATTTAAAAACTTTTTCTTAATTGTCAAATAGAAATTTTATCATCATTCTATAAATACAGTAAAATCTTGTTTTAATGGATTGCTTGGGGCCCCAAAAATCATCTGTTGTTTTGAAAGTTTGTTATATCATGAACAACAGATTTCTTGCACTCCCAGGAAAATATCCATTATATGAAAAAATTTGTTTTTTAAACCCTCTACATAAAATAACACCTGTACTTGAAATTATTCAGTGTCTTGAGATTTCTATTCTTTATTTTATATAAACACATATATTACAATATTCATACATTATGTCATAACAAAGCTGACAGAAACTATACATTATAAGCCAAAAAACAAATTACATATGATTATTAGCACTTCATATGTTAAAAAACTTGTCCATCTTGGTTTGCTTTGATGATGCGATGCTTCTGGGCTTCTTTTGGTGTACTTATAAAAATGTACATACTGGATAACTAAATATTATAAAAAACACACATTTAACAATCCAGCAAATAAAATTTACTAAATTAAAAACGTTTTCGATCATTTTAACCAATCTTCTTCAGTTAACTCAAAATAGAACACTATTGTTAAAGGTGTTTTTTTTATATTCTTTTGGTGGCATCATCAGTATGAAATGTTACTGTTATGCGAGCACAATTTCAAGGTGTGATATTCCCAAACACATCTGCAACAAAGGTGCGACCCACTTTTGTTGCACACACATGCATATTTGAGAGTGTTAAGCCAAAAGTAGTTTCCCTCCCTAATCAATGCGCCACAGGAGGACATTAACATATGGGTGCAATGTTAGCAGTGAGAACCGTCCGTGATGATTATGCACTTAGTTTGCACAGTGTGCAATGTATTTTTTTAAATTCAGTATCTAGAAACATCCAATTATTAATTAAAGGTTTTTTTAACCTTTAATTAATAATAAAAAATATAATGTCTACTGGAGATGGAGCTAAGAAAAATCCATTGTTCTGCAATCTGTTAAAACAAAATTCTACTGTATTATTTTTCCTTTATTCATATTTTTGTAGAGTAGTTTTAATATTTTTTATTTTACACCATACAAATATGGTCATATTTTCAAAAAAATAAAATAATAATAATAATGAAAAAGTCAGTCAAAAACCAAAAAAGTTTTTGACAAATTTTTTTGCAAAAAATTGTAAATAATATTTTAGAAAAAATTGCATGACCATGGTTGTCCTAAAGAAATTTTGTGTTTTTGGACATCAAAAAAGACTGTTAGTTATTATTAAAGACTGTTAGTTATCTGTTAAAAATAGATTATTCAAGGAATTGGCTATGGCTTCAGTTTTATTTCTATTAATTAATGCATTATGTGATGTTTATAATAGTATATACTACCTTATGATGATGACATTGGTTTAAATTAAAGCCTGTCTCATTTGGAAATTCAAATTAATGTAAAAATTTTTAAAATTAAAATGAATCAGTTTAGTGTAGTTCAACAAATTACATGGTATGCTTTTTTAATTATTTGTATAATTTAACTTTAATTTTCCAAACTACCTAGTAATAATTATTAATTCATTCTTAAATTCTTGTTTTATTTTGTGTGTAGTGTACAATAATTTTTAGGGAAATTTTGTGTATGTTTACAGGAAATTTTTGGTGCTGAAAATATTCTGCATCTTTGATTTAAAATCTATTTAAGAAACTCAACTGAAAAAAATGATATAAGTGGTTTTACATGAGTTATCCAGTAAATTTCTGGTTTGAATTAATTTCAAATAAACATAAAGTTTAACTGAGCTACATTACTATGAATATATGCTTTATATCACTGTCACATACTGGGCTAAGTATGAACTTTCTGTTTTATTATTAAACATTTTGACACAATGTGTAATACCTACTCAAAAACAATGAATTGTGATAAAGTACATTATAAAGGAAAGTGCCAGCAACATGAAAATTTCTCACACAGTTAACAGTGTTGAAAGATAGTACTCTTTCCCTTATATCTATATTTGAATCTTGCAATCATTCTGAAAGAAGTTTTGCATTCACCTTTTCAATGGCAAAGTCATAGCATTGGTCTTCTAGAATTACAGTAGTGTATTAATTTATTAATTAATTAAGTAATTAATGTATGTGGATTTATGAACAAAGAGAGGACTTTCAATACAGACTAATCTGAACTACTTTCTGGCAAAATTTATAAGGGCATAAATAAAAAAATATCATGATGTCAAGCAAAGGTATCAACTTATTACAGGATAATGCAAAAACAATATACAGCTGAGAAAATATGGAGATTCTTGCCAAAATGGAAGTATTGGTTCATTCAATGGCTAGTATTAGCAATGGAAATATTGGCTACAGTTTCAATTTTTTACCAAATGGTTATCTTTTGTTTGATTGCATGAAGAATATCTCATTGAAAAAGTTTTTGAACAACAGTGGGGTTATTGATGCAATTCTTCAATGGATTTGGTCAACCAAAAGAATTCTACACTACTGGAATATAGACGGTTCTTTGCCTCTTCCATGTGTTTTTCCTATGTTGAAAAATGATGTTTTTAATTTTCCTTTCTGTGTGTAATATTTATAAAATAATAAAATCAGTCTGAATATTTACTGGACATCCTCTTAATGTAATTGATTAATATTATAAGATTAATTTCAAGATATTCAAGAATGGTGTTCATCAATGCAAAATAATCAAATCACTGCCAAGTGCCAAAAGGCAACCTGCATAAGTGAGAAAATAAAAAATACAGGTCCAAACATAGTTTAAGTAACAAAATATGTAAGTGTGTGTGTATATATTAACCAGAATCTAAATCTAGCACTATACTATAAGTCACTAAGAACCTATGCATTTCACCATGCAACTATTGGAGAATAAAGAAATTAAAATTGCTAGAATATTTAATATAATAAAAAAATCCAGAAAATTTATTACAATATTTTTTGCCCTCATAAATTATTAACCAATAATCACTTACAATAGATGAAACTTTTGGATCATCATCATCATCTGTTCTGCTTCCACCCCAATAAGTTGGTAAGACATCACTGTCTATATCTTCTAATAATGCTGGCTTCCAAGTTTCTGATATAATAATCAAATTTTATAAATTTCAAAACAAATATGAGAAAAAATATTGAGTAAATGTCTACCTTTCATATAAACATGAATTTTTTTTGCCATTATTGATCATTTGATTAAGTTATCCCTAATCACAAAATTCCTGGATGGGTTTAACTAAACAAGCCAATTGTGCAGTCATCAAAGATTGCAGCAATGGCTTGCTTATTAATTAATTGCTTAAGCATGCCTTTATTTTTAATTTGTTGAAATTGATTAGATATGAATTTCTAAAAAATTAGCAATTATGTAATAACATTTATATAAATTCACTTTTCTGTACACACAATAAAATCCATACTCATATCCAAAAATTTTTTTTATAAATTTCAAATAGTCAGGATAACAGAAGTATAAGAGAGAAAATTTTTTAAAATAAAGTTGTATATAAAGAAAACACTAACTTGTACGAATTTGAACATTTTGACAATATTGAAATTTAAAATTTGATAAATCTAAATACTTGATACTAAAAAGAAAACTAATTCTTATTATTCTACTACTACAATTCTATAACTAATAACTGGTATTATTTACCTGACAGTTACAAGCTACTCTATCTTGATATTAACTATATATTCTTTAAGATTCTGACACAAAAATTATTTTTACTTAATGGGATTTGCTAAGGAATAGGAATACTGAATTGTTTACTGTTTACGTGAGATCAGCTCATGTGGTATCTATAGTTAGTTTAGCTTTATCAGCTTTATACTGTGTTTAACTAATATGAATGAGTTATAGGAATGATACTCTTGAAATGTCCCTGAAAAATCAGAAGAATCTGTATCACATTCAAAATCCAGATATTTTTATGAAAATAAAATACTATGAAATACAAGGAATAGAACATTTTAAAAATAAATATTGATAAGTATTATAATCAAAATAATAATTCANAAAAAACAAGCCAATAGTGACTATAAAAATTTTTCAAAAAAAGAGTTTAAAAAGGTATAAAAAAGAAAATAATCTGCAGAGAAAAAACTTTTATTTACATTATTACTAACAAGCTTCCCGAATGCATTTCACCAAATGCATTTGGGAAGCTTGTTAGTAATAATGTAAATAAAAGATTTTTCTCTGCAGATTATTTTCTTTTTTATACCTTTTTAAACTCTTTTTTTAAAAAATTTTTTATAGTCACTATTGGCTTGTTTTTTAAAAATTGAAGTTTTATATTATCTGAAAGTCAGAAGGGAAAGAAAAATATAATTTTTTCATAATTTTACATTTTATGTAAGAAGAAAACAAAAGAAGAAATTTCTGACTCCATCGAATTTTTATAACCTTTTTTTGGAATGTTTGTTTATTTCGAGCACATTTTCAAAGTCATATCAAGGTCAACTTGTTCCTCAACTTTATCCTCACCCTCAGAATTTGAACAAACAACTCCATCAAACAAAATCCAAAAGCAATTGTTTTGTATGTTGATCTTCAATGCAAATGAACGTACATTCTCCATTTTTGACATCACTTTATCACACACAAAATTTATACTGCTATATACACAACTTATCAGTTTTGTGAGATATATGAAAGGTTTTTGTTAGCCCACTAGACAAACACCCAACAAACTAAACATGTAGTAGATGTTAGAAAATGTATTTATTTACATATGGTATAACTATATACAGGCTTAATCAAGGATGCCAACTCTAGGACTGTTACTCTGTCCTCTGTTACTAATAGTAATCCTAAACCCCCTTGTCAGAGGAACAATTACAAAATTAACAAAAATAACATTAATCCAATACAATAAACAAGAATAATTATTACAATAATAATTTTCTTAAACTAACCCTTAATACTAAATTTATGCTAATATGGAAAATTGAAGATAGGGGCGAGAAGTAGTAAAGATAGTGGATAGGATAGAATATCTGGGGTCCTGCAAACTTCTTTCAGTTCTCATTGTTGTGAGAGGCCACGTGGAACTTCTTGCACAAAATTCACACTTCTGTCTTATCCTTGGTGCTTGAGGGTTTTTATTTATATCAAAATTGTTGGTCACTCATTTAAAACTCTAAACTGGTTAAATTGAATGCCAACTCTAATACACTAATGTGAATGGGAGTGCTAAAATTCTTTCTTTTTTTCTCTGTAAACTTTCAGATGAGTTTTAGAATTTTGATACAGCACATCTAACGTCCAAAGGTTTCACTTGATGACTATTTGCTTATTTGCAGGTATGCAAATTAATAAAGTATGGTATGACATATTTAGTGTTGCTACCTTTTCAAAATCACTGACCCAGACAGCAGGTCAGGTTTATTCGAACAAAGCTCCTGACGCATGCGCAATGTTATTTTACAATGCAAAGAATAAATAACGTGCATGCTGGTTCTAAATCAGTTACAGTTAGGGACTAGGGCAGAGATGGCAAACCTATGGCACGCTTGCCCAAAGTGGCACGTTGAAGAAATCATCTTGCATGTAACGTATTATATGATTTCTGTTTATCATCTTTTTCAATCAGGTTCTTTACATTTACTCTAATTACAACATATTATTTTATTTATTTAAATATAATTTTTTAAAACTCTTTTTGCCCTGTGGACACTAAGAGGGCTTTTTTTATTTAGCAAACTCCAAAGGGAACAGCCAGGTCACCACCTGAAAATTTTCTGAGGTTTTGATCTCAGGTCCACAATAATAAGCTACCACTTTGACTGCTCGGCCATTTGGCCAAATTTAAATATAGTTACTAGAAGTCTAAAACTTCTGCACGCATAATCATTTTTAAAGAAAAGTATTCTTAATATGCTTACTATGTGGCACGCAGACTCAAAAAGGTTCGCCATCCCTGGACTAGGGACTTGCATAAGAGTAACATAAGTAATCCTAAAGTAAGAAAGAACATGTACAGATGACTTAGCTCTATTGGATATTGAAGACGTGTACAATCATACATGAAAAAAGAAAAAAGGTCGACAGGTTGCGCGCTACACATCAGCATAAACAGATTAACATGGCAGAATTGCAGATGAGTTTCAGTGAGTGCGAGTTCTTTCGCTGTTAAAATAGTGTAAATTTGTAAAAATATTTGCAAGAACTTTGTTTCGTCATAATTTCACAATTTCTACAAAATTCCTGGACAAAATTAATAGTTCACCCGGACTGTCTGGGTGAAAACCGGACAGGTGGTAACACTAGACATATTAGAGGGCTTAATGTTAAAGTAAAGAAGCATCATTGTAATTAGATGTAAAATATTTTTCTACTTATGAAATATCTGTAAAACAGTCTACAGTATGAAATAATAATTGTTAATTGTAAGTAATTATGTTTATTATAGTGCTATTGAACAGAACTAAATATTAAATTAAATTTGAATTTTGTTTTAACATAGAGTATATTTAACATTATGGATAAGTGAATTGTTTTTAACAAGTTTTTTTAAAGTATACGATCTGGAAGTGTATGAATTTAAAAAATTGTTTGGAACTATTATTTTTTAATCTGCAAGTACTGATTATATTATTGTTTAAAATATAACTAATGTACGATACTTAATATATTTATGTCTTATGTAGAAACATCACTGAGGAGGGAAAGAAAGTAAACATCATATCAAAATATATATGTAAAAGTAAATTAAGCAAATAAAGTCATCTTCAATAAACCTCTGGATGTTAGATGTACTATTTTGAAATTCTCAAACTCTTCTGAAAGTTTACAGAGAAAAGAAAGTTTAACACACTAACTTTGGTCCAGGAATTTCAAGGATTTCTGCTCAAAGTTATGACTTCACCAATCTACTCAGTTACTGGACAATATCATGTGTCTGCTTTTTCATCATCCTCCTCTCTCTTCAAGCACCAGCTCAAAAGTGACCTTTCTTCAACTCATATGCCATCAGGTAATCTCTCACTCATTACACTGGTTATTCCAGGAATTAGCCCTCAACTCCAACAAGGAAGAATCGAGGAGATTAGAAAGTTCTAAAAAGTAGAAAGAACAAAGAACAAGGGTAAAATGTACAAAGAACAAAAAGACAAAAACAGACATATGGCATACAGCAAGAGTTTGCAGCCTCTCTGATCTCACAGTTTCTTGTTTTTCATATAAAGTGTGTATGAAAATACAGTGTATATTAGCCTTGAATTGAGATTCAAAATTTATTGATAAATTTATATTTTATCATATTTATTTTATAGCTAATCCCTTGGATGGAGAAAGTGTAAAAAAAATATATTTTTATAAATTCAAAAATTATTTATTAATTTTGCTACAGAGTGTTAAAAATTGTGCATGCATTTTTATAAAACTGAAATCTTTTAAATACTTTTTAAAATCCTTATATTTAATAATAGAAAATAAAATTATGAAATTATTTAAACAATAAATTTTACTGTAAATTAATCCAAAATACTTAGTAAAATGAAAACAAAAATATAAATAAAAATAATTCATACAAACATACCTATTCTAAGAAATTTCATTATCATCTTCTTTATCATTGAATAAACATGCTTTAAAAAAAAATTTATCAAACGAAAATAAAAATGATTTTGAAGCACCTATAACTCAATTTACCATTTACAACATAGGCTTTCTTCAATCTCTCTGGATAGTTATCTTCAAATAATTTTACCAGTTGAGTTATCATATCAATAGCTAGAGAAAAAAGAAAAGAATATTAAAATTTTTTGTTTATATATATACATTAATTTAATTCAACAGAATTTACCAGGTTTCCAAGCAACTTGCTTCATAGTGAGATTTTCCAAATCAAATATAATGCTATGAGTTTCAACAACTTTTCCCAACTAGAAATAATGGAAATGATGATAATTACTGTACCTGTAATTTTATTGAAATAAATTGCAATATTTAATTTCTAATCTCTTTGTAAAAACTGTCATAAAACTGAAATATAACCAATAACCTATACTAAAGTGGTCCAACTTTTTTCAATTTGGGCCAAATTGTACCTTTGAGCTTAAGTCACAGGCTGGAGAAATAATGAATATGTGGAAATAAGACATTTTGAATTGTTAATTAAATAAAAGATGCAGCTATACATTTTAATGAACATGTTTGTTTATTTATATGTTCAAAATTTTTATATTAATTATAGGATTGACCATATAATTAATTTAAAAATTTGATTCCTCAATTAGGTATATTCGGGTGCTTATGGGGTTGTAGCATCCCCTTGACACCAAAGCAATCAGTTTTGTTACTTTAAAATTAAAATAAATATAATAATGTATACTGCATAACTTCAATTTGGTCAGATTAGCTAACTAAGGTAATTGAGTAACATTCTCCAAAAAATAATAGGACAAGTTATGAGCCCCCAAATCTGCCTTGAGCAGTGCTATATTCTCAAAATCTTGGATATGTCACTGAGGTCAATAATTATGACCTTAGCTAAATGATTATATTGTACAGTTATCAGTTAGTGTGCCCATAACTCAAATACAAAATAAATTAGAATAGAAAATAACCAAGAGAATTTTATAATAAATTTAAAAATTTATATTAAACTGATCAGATTTTCTTTGAAAAAAAAAAAGTATGGACCTGACAATCTTTGTTACAAAATGAGCATAGATTCCTTTCCTGCTTACAAAATAACTTACACCTAAAAATAAAAAAAGTGTTAGTCAAAGATGACAAAGAAAGGACATTTACAAGATTAACTGGCTATTTCTATAGACATATTGATCTCTTCCTTTATAAATGTATGTTTTCAGTTATGTAGTATATCAAATCTGGACATTTTCTCAGCTCCTTTCAAAGTGCTTCTCTCCTTTTTTTGTTTTCAGATCTTCCTTTTTGAATTGTTCATTTTTTGTCTTTTTCTTTGACCTTTTTAATGACTAGTAAAAGAAAAAGAAAATATTCTTTCTTGTGTCCTTAAAAACATATTCCTCCATTCCACATTGTCCTTTCCACCAATGTACATACTTTCATAATCTTAGTGTATTCAAATTTAAGTTACAGACAAATGTCAACCAATCCAACCAGACAACCAGACAATCCCAAACAAAGGAAGAGACAAAGAAATGGAAATTGCACATTAGCATGCCACATATCTCCCCATCAAAACAAATATAAAATTTTATTTTCCAAGGTATAATCTATGAAAATCAATCTGATGCCTCCTTAAGTTGTAATGTCTGTCATCATAGGTTTTCATGTCAGTTGCTAGGAGTTAGAATGTTATCATAGGTTTTCAAAAATAATTGGAAAGAGTTTGTCATGACATTGAGGAAAATAATTTTCCTCAACGTCATGACAAACTCTTTCCAATTATTTTTACATCTTGGTAAATAAAAGATATTATCAATCTCGTCAACATGATCTCACTGAATACTTAGTGTTCTGGTCCATTTTCTGTATCTTTCACTCACACTCACTTCATAAAATGGATTTTCAGCCTGTCGATATGAACATCTCTATCCTTTAAGTTTCATTTATTCATACATCCATTTATTTTATATGTAACAGAATTATGGATAGAGACAATTCTAAATGGTCTTTTAGGCAAAATCTAGGCAAAAACTTTCCTAATTTATTTCCTTTCTTTGTTACCAAATCTGTTGCCCTAACAAAAATTTCTTTAGCTATCTCCTTTTATTCCAATATTCCCTCTTTTTATTACTTACTCTGTAGCTGTACACTATATTTTGTATATATTAATATATTAATTTAAGTTTAGTTTAGTTTCTTCCTTCTATCCTTTGTCCTTTTGTTCCATCTCTTTCTAGAACTTTCCTATCTTAATCCCTGTCCCTTGGGTGGGATGACCAGTTCTGAGAAATGAAAGAACAAAGAAGTTAGAATGACCCTTAGGACAATGATGAAAAGACAAAGGGCATTTGAGGAGAGAACGGCGAGAAGTATGGAAGTGGAGAGTGGACGCTCCGGGTCGCTTAAGCAATGACCGGAGATCTTGGAAAGAAGAAGATAAAGGTTCTCGTCCGGCGACAGCGACAAAAAGATTTTAGAAAAGGAAATAATAAATATAGAGGGAGACGACGACGAGTCAAATCCAAAGAAGTCATCGTGCGGCATCCCACCCTTCAGTACGAATAGTTCGAACACCGCCATCAAAAATCCCGGGTATTTCTGTCTCAATCTTATGTATTCTTCCTTCATCCTTCTGCTTCTATTCTTCTCTTTCACTAGTATTAAGTTAGCATATAAGATTAGTTTTAAGGTCAGGCCCTTTTTTGTCATTGCGGTCGGAAACGGTACCGTACGTTTGAATCTAAATATTGTCATAGTAGTAATCTCATATACCGTCGTGTTGTATTGTGACGTTGGAATCCATAAAATAAATATAATTTTTCTATGCGCAAAATTGTTTCATTGTAAACTCTTAATTTTGTCCTTATATCTCACAACTCCACCATGAAATCTTTTTGATGTTTTCTCATTAGGTGCAATTTGATCATCAAATATTTACAGTGTTCATTGACATTATGGTTAATGGAATGGTTTGTGGTTATATGCCATATTAATGTATATATTAATTTAAATATAGTTTTAGTCCTCCTCTTTGTTTCTTTTTCCTTCCAGAACATTCCTTTCTAACTTTTTTCCCTTGGGTGGGTAACCAATTCTTGGAACCACTTCTTAAATTCTTGGAACCAATTCTTGGAACAATGAAAGAAAAGAGGCCTGGGCCCAATGAGTGAAAGAAAGGACATTCTTGGATCAAGATCTTGTGATGGACAGATGTCAAATGTGATGCTCCAGGTTGCGAATGGCAATGACTGAAGAGTTTGAGAATTGGATTTTTATCATAGTTATGATAAAAGGGTGTAATAACAAGGTGCAAGGAGAAACCTAGTGGAGATGATGACAAGAGACTTTTCAGAAAATGAAAATAACTTAAAAACTATATATGAATAATTGGCATCATGCCATAATGTCAATTATTACAAAAAGAAACCTGTTCTTACGCTCTGTAATGTCTAACAGGCCAACAATATCTATGGCAATTTTCTGAAATGGTAATTTGGCAGATTCAGACTTGTGTAGAGGGATATGACTATTTTATACAGTCTTTGATGTTCCTAATGAATTTTCTTTAAATTGATTTTTAACATTCTGACTAAAATAATAAATTTTCAATTGGCTATTAATATGTCTCAAAACCAACTTATAATAATGAGCACAAATTACTTTAAAGTGACTGTTTTCATTTCAATTTTATTGACTCCAATATGCATTTTGGACATACACATTCATCCCTCTTCAGTTGGGTATAGTATTATATGTCAAAGTCATTAATTAATTATTAATTAATTAATTTCTATCATCCACCTCATTAAATATTTATTACTGTTTTGAAAAGTACTAAAGAATGATAAGGACTTGTGATCAGAAAACATAACAATTTTCTGCCTTAAGATTATGAATTTAAAATGCTTCACTAGCAATATTATGGCTTAGCACTTCTCAATGGTCAAATATATCAACTTTACACCTTAGAAATTTTTGCTGAAGAACCAATAGGTAAAAAACATCCTTCTCTCAGTTAATAATAATTATTATTATTATGTAGTAATTATAGTAATATCTAATAATTTTTAAAAAATTTTGATTTATAATGAACTTTATTTAAACAATTGCAATAATAAAAAATAAATAAAAACTGTTTATATTAATTATTATATAATAATAAAACTGCAGATTCAAAGTTGAAGAACATTGATCTAGTGAACCTGTTACCAAAATGTAATGACGATTAAAAAAGAATCAGTGTAAGTGCTGAAAAACATGACAATTGCTGAGTGCTAACACTGCTTCCAGTATTAGAATGGCAATAGACTAAAGTGTGTAAGTATGGAAGGGAAGTATTTTGAAAGGAATCATGTTGATGTACCAGAAAAACTGAAAAATACAAAACTGATATACTGATTTTTCTGTAAACTTTTTGCCCACACTTCATAAATAAAGTCATTTGTAAATGTTAGAAAAAATTGTTTAAATATAAAATTTAATTACCAGTATATAATTAAAATTAATTAGTAATGAAATATTAAATTAAAATTTAATCAAAAGATATTCTCATACTCTTTCACTCTGATCTCTCATTTCCTGTTCACTGACTTCCATCAGTTTGACAACGTATTTAATAAACTCTGATTTCTTCACAGAATAAAATAATCCTGAAAATTTTAATATAAATATAAATTATCATCATGAATAAATTTTAAAAAACTATAAAATTTTATAATCATATTTAGTGTTAGGCATCTGGGGACAAAAAAAAAGGACAAAATAGTGCAGTAAAATTTTAAAATAGTGCATATTGGTGCAAATATGAGGATGCTCGCCTCATATGTCACTCATTATTAATTCAGTAGTAACAACTGACAATCAATATGATAGTTTCATATGCTATCATATTGATTGTCAGTTGTTACTACATATTTGTATTTATTTTCACCTCTTCGTTAATTTGTTGTATTTCATTCATTGTTTTTTCTTTTTTGTACAAGGGTTGGCAACGTTTATACAGGTAGAGGAGTAGATATAAGGTAAAGGGAAGTAGGGTGAGAAGAGGTAGGCTTTTTCCTTTTGGTTTCTGGGGAAGTTGCACACGCAGAAGAAGAAATAGGACAGTGAAAGACAGGGCTCTGTCTCGGTCATCGAATATAAAAAGACTGTTTTCTGTGTGGAATTGTGTCTTATTGGATCACTGAACAAGAGAAGGCTATATCTGTCTGGAACAGTGGATGCTACACACCATAATGCTTCCAACAATTCTATCTTTTAGCCACTGGTAGGGAGCTATTTGACTAAGTGAATTGTTTCAAGATTTAAAAAGTAAAGAATATTCACTACACTATCCAGAACCTGTAACCAGTGCGTAACACGTATATACTATATATTGCTGTTGACAGACGTTTGCTCTTCTTCAGCAAAGAGATCACTCAAAAACATTTGTCAACAGCGATATCTAAATATATAAAATTGCTTGTCCTGACTGACTCACTCATTCACTGATTCATCATTGCCCAGAGCAGACTGCCTAACCTAAAGAGGTGAAATTTGGTAGACAGTTGGGGTACATCATGGAAATGCACACTAAGAAGGGATTTTTCAAAATTCCTCCGCGGGGGGAGAGGGAGAGGATTAAGGCTTAACCGGAAGAACAGCTTCTACTGTACTATTTTAGATGCAATTTTTTATTTTTATCTGCGTTGTGGTAGGGTATGCCATGGCAATGCACACTAAGAAGGATTTTTTGAAATTCCCCCGCGGGCGGGAGAGGGAGAGGATTTAGTCTTCATCGAGTACTTAGGTGTATTAAATTAATAACATTTCAGACATTGTTATAAATATTTTTATCTATTTCAATTTTAAAAACGTTTGAACCATTTTAAATTTGAATTTGTTATTGCATATTGGTTCAATTATAGAATGATTATAAATGTTCCAGAAAATTGATCAAATTGAAAATAGTTCATTTGATTCTCAGCAATTCTCATCATTCTCAGTGGTAGGTGTTATATAACAATTACTATGGTTGTTGAAATACTGAATATAAATGGGGTTTGCTTGCAAAAGCCGCAAGTAACAGCTAGTATAGTATATATGCATTATGCACTGGTTACAGGTTCCGGATAGTGTAGTGTACCGCAGTACTGACAGTAGAATAGTTTCTGTATTTAAAGAATATTCAATGTTATTTTTATGTATGTTTCTTTGCAAACTTATATTTAATTATAATTTTCTTTTAATTACAGTATAATTATATTTTAAAATAATTCTTTAAATTGCAGTATAATTACAGTATAAAAAGTGATAAAATCTTTAGAATTTTTATCACTTTTTAATAAAGTTAATAATTTTAAATATTATAAAAAACAATTTTTCCAAGAATGTTTTAATTCTTTAAATTAAGTAAATTTTATGGGAAATTTTTTGATTTATCTAAATTACGTAGTGAATCGCAATATTTATATTTGCGTCCAGACTATATTGACAAGTAACTCTTNAAAAAAAAAAAAAAAAAAAAAAAAAAAAAAAAAAAAAAAAAAAAAAAAAAAAAAAAAAAAAAAAAAAAAAAAAAAAAAAAAAAAAAAAAAAAAAAAAAAAAAAAAAAAAAAAAAAAAAAAAAAAAAAAAAAAAAAAAAAAAAAAAAAAAAAAAAAAAAAAAAAAAAAAAAAAAAAAAAAAAAAAAAAAAAAAAAAAAAAAAAAAAAAAAAAAAAAAAAAAAAAAAAAAAAAAAAAAAAAAAAAAAAAAAAAAAAAAAAAAAAAAAAAAAAAAAAAAAAAAAAAAAAAAAAAAAAAAAAAAAAAAAAAAAAAAAAAAAAAAAAAAAAAAAAAAAAAAAAAAAAAAAAAATCGCTGAATAGAGTTAGTTTATAAAAAATAATAAAAACAAGTTTTTATATTTTTGTTTCATGTCAATATATCTATTTTAGAATTAAAATAAATAAATTGTTTATTTTTGTCATTTCCAGTGTTTGTTTAAAATTTTTATGGAAACACAGTTTCCCTATCATCAAATGTCACTGATATATTCTATGAACAGATTAGAATGACAATAGTGATCTAGATAATTCTAAAAATGATAATCAATAATGCTAATAAATAATAACATTGAAAAGCTGATAAATGTTTTATGCCTGAAGCTTTATGTTTTCATGTTACAAAAACAAATATTTATACAACAGTTAAAAAACATATTCTAACAAAATTAAAAAAATAATTTTTACCTTTAATATCCATGTTTCCAAATGGGATTATCCAAAGAGGACAACCTTCTTTGTCATGACCAATTAATCCACCAGGAAAATATTTTAAAAGAACCTATATTTTTAAAGAAATTTTAATATATCATCATCATTATTAATTATATTTACTTTTACACTTATAAAATTTACCTCTGGTGGATCATATTCATCTATTAATGTGTCAGCTTTCATTTGATTTCTCCATTGTAGACTCTAAATATTATATTTAAAATTAAAAATTAGATATTTCTAATAGCATAAACAGTACAGTTATTGGCTACTAGACAGTAATTAGCCATTTTAAATTTAAACCTTTAATAAGAGTTCTATAAAAGCTATTTTAGAATATTGCATGGCAGTATCAATACAAGTTTATGTCATTAGTAGAAAGCAAAAATCCTGCAGGTTTTTCTGTCATTGTATGTGGCCAATAATAGAATTACAATAATAGTTGAATGCAAAATATGGACAGATTAGCATTAAAAGTACTCAGACAGCAAGACAAAATAAAGAGAATTTATTCATATTCATAATTTATTCATTTTTCATTTTTCAATATAGTAAAGTAGGCATACAACATAAAGTTTCAATTTACACTTTCCTTTGAGGCAAAGAATATAATTTTAAATATAATAAAACTAATTATTTTACACTTAAAAATATAAACAAAATATAAAATTGCAACGTTTAACAAAGAAAATACTTTACTTCCATTAATCATCCGTCATTTGCTCCAGTTGACAGTCCACAGCTTCACAAGTATGGAGACAATCTTTCTTTTGAGGCTACTGCCTCCTCAATAAAATGCAAATATAGTAAAAATGTCCTCTGGTGCTATTGCCACTTTCACATAAAATACATGTTTAAGTAAATATAAAATATAAATCATGGCTGACAGTATCACATTTAAACAAAGTATAAACAAAATATAAAATATTTTATATTTTTTAATTGTTGATAGGATAAATGGTATTGTAATTGCCCATTTCAGATTTACATCTCTTTAATAAGAGTTCTATAAAAGCTATTATATTTTATAATAAAACTATTTTACCACTTACTCATTAGACAAGTACTATCAAATTAAAAAACCATTATAATGAATGTGCACATGTTCTCTAAGGGGTTGTCCATAAATTATGTCTGCATTTTTCTTGAAATTTTTATTCTCTCTCTCCCTCTTTTCCCAATTTGTCCAAGTTTCTGTAACCCCATCCTTTCTTCAGATGTCCAATTAAACTCAACTCCCCTGATAGATTTTCAGACATAAAATCTTTAGAATTTTTATCACTTTTAGATGTTAAGAATTTTAAATATTATGAAAAACAATTTTCCGAGGCAAGTTTTAATTCTTTATGTAAATTTTATCCTTTATCACTTTATGAATGATAGAGACCATAAATAGAAATGAAACATACAAGAAATTTTTATATAAATATAATAAAATGCATAAACTGTTTAAAATTTATTGAAATAAAGGGTTGTCCACCGAAGCTCAACCTCTCCCCCTCTTCCAGTGTGGACATCATTTATAGACAGCCCTAAGCAACAGAGCTGTTATATTTACTTATACAAGGTTGCCACCTAGCTGACAAATACAATAATAATTATCAGAATAATTATCTCCTTTTGTCAGATTTAAATCTAAGTGGTTATGATTTAACTATTAACTGCACAATCAGTTGAAAAGTACAACATTTTGTTTATTTTTTCTAAGTACAGTACAGACACTGACAGAGCCTTTAAAGTACACTGTTCATACTAAATATGAATGTATGGTAACCCTACCAATAACTATGTAATTTTTCATTTTCATAAAACAAGACAATTTTGGATTTCATGACTGGCATTTGTAATTTTTACATGTTGGCAGTAGAAAGACTATTAAAAAAAAAAAAAATTCATAAGTAACTATAACTGTATTTCTTGATTTAATCTGCTATATTGTAAAGTACATTTTAAAAATAAAAATTTCATAAGTGGCCAATAACTGTACTGTTTATCCATTATATTTAAGAAACATACTTACAGTTCTTAGCATATTCACTGCTTCAGTCAAATTATAATTTTTTGCTAAAATTTACAAATTAATTATTAATTAAAGATGATAAAAGTTTTCTGTATTGTTATTTTAAATTATATTAAAATAATTAAAAATTAAACATAAAACTGAATTTATGTATTTCATTCTCAAATACTGTGGATATTAATTTTAATCATTAATTTGAATATTACAGGCAATTTTATTAGTAATAACTGTGTTTTCAATCTAATAACAATACTTGATAACTAAATTACTGACCACGAAGCCAACGAGAAAGGAAGTAATCATCATGATGGGGTCGTAAAATATCATCCATAGTTCCTCGAAACTAAAATAAATTTAAAATAAAGATCGGAATTCATTATAATTTTATTAAAATATTAAAAAATGTTAATAATAAATAACATTAATAAATACAGTAGAGCGTCGATTATCCGAATCAATTGGGGACTGGGGTTGTTCAGAAGATCGATGTTTCGGATAACCGATTATGTACGAAAAAATATATTAATTTATCCCATGTTGACATTTTTCTCCGTTGCGTGTCGCTTCACATTGAATTTTCGTCGATGTTAAGCCTAACAAAGACTATTGTATCATAAAAAATTATTTTTTTATTTTGTACAAACAAAATAAATATATTGAAAAATATAAAAACAATAAAAAACTATACTTCAGAAGTTAATATAGTATCAAAAACGTAAAATATTTGAGTAGCCCAAGACATAGCCAAAGATTGCAGTGCCACAGCATTGGCAAAAATTTAAATTTGCCGACTGGAATTTTTTCGGATGATTGACTTTTGGATAATCAACGCTCTACTGTATTTTGAAAATTGTTCTATAGTGTTTCATCTTCATGTATTTTATAGTGGACATCTATATTGCTGGTGTTTGATGTTTACTGGAGGATACACAATCCAAATATGCAAAAATTGTTTATGGGACTTTGTGCCCACTTGAACATTTTCAAAAAATACACTTTTTTTGCAAAAACAGATGACAAAGATTAATTCTTTTAATTAAAGTAATGAGAGAAAAATATCAGGTTCCAAGATCCTCACTAAAATCTGCTTAAAAATGTTTTTGATTAGGAAAAAATTTATTTAAGGGATATATAATATTGTCAGTTAATGTTTACATTTTGACATGAATTGAAATAAAATAAACAATGTAAATCTAAAGGCAAGCATCTCCAGTTGGGATAGCAATTCAGTGTCATATTAAACACTGATGATCAAGCTCTTCTGTGGCCTGAATTAGTCTCGATTTCTACTTGGAAACAGAGACCAATCAGAAAGTGTAGATGAGGAATCAAAATCAATCAGAATGGGCAATCAAGAGACTGAATGGATAAAAGTCCATGTCTCAAGGACAAAGTGTTTTTGCAAGTATCCATTAATGCCTTAAAAGAACAGATTTTTTTCCACAAAAATCCAGTCCTTGTCTGCTCATTTTTACCAAAAGAACAATTCCTTGCTCTCAAGGACCTTCACTGACTAAGTGTTCTGCACCAAAAACCAGAAAATCTTTGAGTCGTCTGTTGTTTTGATTTCTCTCAAATTGTGTGAAGGCTATCACATTTACTCCTCAAGATCCATCACTTACAATCTCTATCATCACTCAAGATGTCCAACTGATGATAACATTGTGGCTTGGTTAAGTTTTGTTTTTTTTTTTTCTTTCCCCACTTTCATCAAAAACTTTACTTCTGGCTTTTGTTCGTCTGGCCTCACCCTTACTGAATGGTCAGTGGTCTGATGTGTCTCTAAAACCAATGGGGTAGTACCGAATTGGTCAAAAAAAGACTGGGGGAAAAAGGAGATATAGGTGGAAGCACCTGGAGCACTGAATTAGAAAAATTATTTGAATGCAAGGTACACCTCTTTTTGTTTGTGAAAGTGCGACCATCATCTTTTTGAGGCAGGAGCTTGGGAGAAGAGGATGTATATGTCGATGAGGAATAGAAAGGAAGCCCCTCTTGAAGAATGGAGACTTAAGGTTTATTTTTGCTAGTCATTCATTTTTTCCTCCTCTTTCTACTATCTTATTCAGATCTTCTGATTTCTTCCAACAACCCCATCTTGATCTAGGGTCCTTATATTGTATTTTAGTTAAGGTAAAGTTAGAAATAAGCTAGATTAAGTTCTTTTGTATGTCAGCATATGAGATCTATTTGGCATTATAGTAAGTTTTAGTCCCAGATATTTGTATGTTCACAGGTGTGAGTTTTGTAAGTTCTTTCTTTGGAAAGACTTGTTGCTAATTGTAATTATTAAATTTTACATTTTTATCTATGCCTAGCAATTCCTTGGATTCAATTCTTTGTTCTTGGCTACAGCATCAACCTGAAGCATCTCCATATCAGAAGGTTCAGTAAAGAAGAAAGTGCATCAAAGGTGTCTGCCAGACCTTCTATAGCTGGCTGGCCATAGACCATCACCATTTTTAACAACAAGATCACAGTCTAGTGGCCCATATCTGTAGAACATTAACTGTTTATCATGACTCAAATTAAACCCAAAATCTCTCAAGTCAGAAGTGTCTGTATGGATATGCTGAGAATGATGCAAGAAACCTATCTCATAAAATACATGGATTTTTGTAGAAATTGTCTTCACTCAGTGCCCACTCCACCCACATACCACTTCTCATTTTTTTTGCACTTTGAGTGACAGACTTCTTTCTCCAAGAGTATGTTGACCATGTTATTGATCATGATCCTGATACTGCCATATTCAATATCAGGATCATGACTAAACCTCAAAGAGGTCCTCACAAATACATTAGTCATTATTGAAAAGTGAAAAAATGTTTGGTCCATAATAATAAAATATAAACATTTTATTATTATGTGGTGCTTAACATGTTATGAGCATAATACAATGTTGTAGTCCCCAGACTAAAAAATTTTTTTTTATTTTAAGGGGGAACAAAAGATCATTCAATAAACTAACAACAATTGTCCATAATCCTGTTTTCTATCTGCATAAAATCTTTATATATAAACAGAGCATCAATACATGTTTGTGTGACATGACTTTCACCCATGGGGTATCACTAATTATACAAAATTTGTTACATATGTTGTCTACGATAAGTCTTTCAAATTATAGTTTACCTTTTTATTTTAATGTTCACACTAATATAATCAGTTGTACCTGAGACATACATCCAATAAAATTGCATTAAAGTTTAATGTACTTAAATGTCTTTCTGGTTAATCCTTACCATCATTTATCAATATAACTACCTTTTGATGTTTCTGATCTCATATTCCTTTTTTCTTAACTCTTGTAATTACATATCCACACACCAGAAGCAAAAAACAAACCGCACAAAAAAAAGATCCCGTGCTCTCCTTTGTCTTCCTTTTTTATACACCAAAATATGTGACTTGACCGATCCATATCTCACCATTGGTATGACGACCAATCACACACAATGGGTATAATACAGGCTGATATAGAAAGAAGAATGAAGGTGACTAAACTAACAAAGAAAAAAAAAAACAACTTCATATAACACTACATATCTCCCTCAGAAAGAATCAACTTTTACTATTGAAACACTGGAAGTCTATCTGCTCCCTCTAAGGTTATAAGGTTTCACTATGACCTTAATTCTTGTAGTGAGAATGAAACTACTATAATTTTTTAAAAGTTGTTTGTTTATTTATTTATTTTACATTGAATTTTGGAAATGCCATCAGGCAGTTGATTTCCACCCCTCAATACCTAAGTCCAAAAGAAGTTTAAAAAATACAAAAAGACAATGGAAAAATGCATACAAAGCAATAAACATAATACATAAAAAATATATACAGTAGAGAAATATAAATAAAACAGAAAATATATATATGTGTGTTACCGCTAAAGCTCAAAAGCCGTTAATGTGTACATTACCCAGCTAATCTCCAGATTAACTAGGGTGATCCATTAAAGTTTCGAAAATTGTTCCATTTCTCAAATTACCTAGGTAATGTGCAGATGATCTAGGTAATCTGCACATTACCTACTAGGCACTTGGTAAACTGAAAATAAGATCTTTGCTGGAACAACAGCAACGTTTTTTGTATGCTTAAATTAACATAATGTTATTTAATTAATTTTCGATATCTAAAGAATCAAGTTAATACAATCAAACAATCGACAAATTAGTTGATAGAATCAATCATCAATCAATTAAAAAACTGTAATACAAAACATCAAACGGTTTAAAATATTATTATAATTAGGGAAATGAATTTGCAAAACATATGATAAAATTGTGCTTACTTATTAGTGCAATCTAAAAATTAGTGACACTTTGAATTACGTAGCTATTGGTTTTCGTGACAAGCACACCTATTTGTGATACACATAGATTTGCAGTCGCATTTCTGAAACCCTGCCCAGTACCAAGGGATTGTTTTATTGCTGTTTGACGTAAACATATTTCTACAGCAGAGACAGTAAACATATTTCTACAGTAGGACATCTTTCGTTAAAAATCTCTCTTTGCAAACACTGAATTCAGATTTTGCATACAATTGTTTTAAAATACCTGTTTTAGTACCAAGTTTATAAAAGCCATCGTCTGTTTTACTAAGAACCACGGTTAAAATTGAGCGTGCATCAGTTTTTGCTCTGTCTTGTTCGGGAAGTAGTAGGGAAAGGAAATGAGAGAAACAAACTTTTGAACTTTAACGATATGGAAGCCGTTAATTTGCAGATTCCCTAGGTAAAATGCAGAAAACTCTTGATTCTGCATGTTAACGGATCACCCTAGCTAATCTTCAGATTAACTAGGTAATGTACACATTAACGACTTTCGAGCTTTAGCGGTAACATATATATTTGAAGTTTAGACTATTCACAAAAATATAACATTCTCAAGTCTATCTTTTAATCCTTTAACACAACCACAGAAGGAAAAGTTACAATGGTTTTGAAGAATAAACTTCTTTAACAAAGTTGTAACCATTGTAACTGTTACTTCTGTGGTTGTGCTTAGAATAGACTTGAAAATGTTATATTTTTGTGAATAGTCTAAACTTCAAATATGAAGAAAANTTTAACACAACCACAGAAGGAAAAGTTACAATGGTTTTGAAGAATAAACTTCTTTAACAAAGTTGTAACCATTGTAACTGTTACTTCTGTGGTTGTGCTTAGAATAGACTTGAAAATGTTATATTTTTGTGAATAGTCTAAACTTCAAATATGAAGAAAAAATATCCTGAGTCATCATGAAAAAAGAAAATATATATTCATTAAAAAATATAAAAATTATAAATTAAAAAACATATTCAGGAGCATGCAAAGTAAAAAGTGTAATTGCAACTAGC